ATGAACAACACAAATGAAAGATGCAAAAGAAATCTTTTACTTTTTAGGTTTTCCATTTGATTCAATACTTTGGTTGTCGGACGACGAATAACATATCTTTCACGAGTTCTTTTCTCTCCAATCCAGCAGTATCTTTGAACCTCGTAATATTTTTCGGTGGAAAAGGTATAACTAATTACCTTTTGAAATGATGGTTCATCCGAATTAGCGGCCTGCATGAAGTCGGATATAATACTCTTTGATTTTCCAGCCTTTTCCTCCTCCTAAAATCAAAATATAACATCCAAATAATATATGCATGTCAAGTAAATAAATAAATAAATTTGTAAAAAACTAATTTGTGCTATTATTACTCTAAATTTTTCAATTTCTTGATCACGAAGTTTTTGTAATCTTGGACTTATATATCTCTCAAACAACTCAATCAAATCTTTTTTCTTACTATTATGTGAATAGTGAACGTTATTTAGGGTCAATATCTCCTTCAGTTTGTGCATACTGTCTTGTATAGGATTGTACTTGGGGTCCAAATAAGATCGTTTTTTTGGGTCCATTTTTCTAATAATTACTTTTAAACTTTAAAGTCAGATATATTATCAGGAATAGAACCCAGAAATTTATACCATCTTGTTTATATTACTTTTAAAATGCAAAAATGCATGTCAATAAAATGTAAGACTCCAAGTAAAAGTAAATTATTCTTTTATTAGCTCGGTGAGTGTAAAAAAAAGATCTGCTAATCAAATTTTTTTTAAAATTTTCTGTAATTAGAAAATTGGCATTTCTCATATAGGACGGTCCTGTGGCTAAATATACAAAATATTCATAATTTGAAAGTAGAACATATAATATGCATGATTTTATAGACCTGGATTAGCAAGTGCTAACGAAGATCATAGGTGCAATTTAAAAATTAGGAAGGTACTGTATATTCAGCCACAAGACTGGTTCATAGGTAATTAATTGAATTCTGATGATAATAATAATCTTTTTCCCAACGAGTTCTTTGACAATATCTTTTCATTGATTATTATTATTATTATTATACTATATTTAAATACATCTTTTTGGTGCACAATGCAGAAATAAACATACATGTTTTATCAATACCCAATTAAAGGGTGTCATTTGTGACTTTTAACCATATAAAAAAGAGCAATTCTACCCAAAATTGAAACCTGCCAAGGTTCTTGTTGGGTATTAATTGATGCTGCATAACATGTTAATCTAATTTTTCTGTTGATGGATTTACCCGAACTCGGTTAATTATAAGATTATGGTAATAGCGTTGAATACGATACTGGTGTCCTATTTGAATTTTGCCGTATTGGAGGGGGTGCATATTATTTTTATAATTTGTTTATTCATCCTTTTTTGAATTTTCTCATACGCAATCACTGTGAGCCTTTTTTTATATTTGTTTGTACAACCAGGTTAATGAAAGACACTTTTAAAGTTCATTCACGCAGTAAACTTTGATTTGAAACAAATCAAACATGTCGCAAATCTAATTTATAATTTATATAAATTCCTATAAAAATTTAATTTTCTTTAAAGTATGTACAAATTTGGTTTTCTTCTGTTTTTTACATTTTCTTTTCGATCATTCACGATAATTTCTTTAATCGAATTTTTTCTAAAAATATAACAATCAATAAAATAAAAAACTAGGCGATTTTTTTTTTATTGAGTCCATAATTCCGTTCAATTTTTTTCTCAATAATTGGTTAATAACAAATATATAACAAGTCCATAACATACAATATTATAATAAATGTCAGATGTTCAAGTTAACTCTCTTATAGACAACCAATATTATCCTGGTGATATAGGTTGGGTATTAGTATCTACAGCTTTGGTGTGGTTAATGATACCCGGCGTTGGTTTTTTTTATGGTGGTATGGCAAGATCTAAAAATGCATTATCACTTTACTTTTTGGGGATTTTAACTGTTGCTGTAGTTTCCTTGCAGGTAAAAAACGGGAATTTAATAGGATTATTAATTAAATTAAATTATCTAAATTATTATTTTTGTTTTAATATTTTAGTGGTTCATGTTTGGATACAGTTTAACATTCAGCACAACAGGAAATGCATTTATTGGCAATTTCGATAATGCTTTATTTCTTGGATTAAAATTTGGCCCATCACCTGTTTCAACTCGTATACCTGACTTGTTATATGCCACCTATGAAGGAATGTTTGCCGCAATTACGCCTGCTATAGCCATAGGTGCAGCTGCAGAAAGAGCCAGAACATTACCAACATTGGTGTTCATATTTATTTGGTCGACGTTAGTTTATGATCCGATAGCTTCTTGGACTTGGTCTAAACATGGGTGGTTTAGGGTTACAGGTGGATTGGATTATGCTGGAGGGACACCTGTGCACATATCTTCCGGAGCTGCTGCACTTGCATGGTGTTTGATTCTTGGTAAACGCAATGGCTATGGAATGCAAGAATTCAGAGCCAATAATATGTCAAATGTGATTCTTGGCACGGTTTTCCTTTGGTTTGGATGGTTTGGATTTAATGGTGGTTCGGCATCTAGTGCTGATATACGCGCAATAATTGCCGTCACTAATAGCAATTTAGCAGCGTCAACTGGTGGACTTGTTTGGATGATGATGGATTACAGATATGAAAAGAAATTATCTGTAATTGGATTTTGTTCAGGTGTGGTGTCAGGATTAGTTTGCATAACGCCTGGATCAGGATATGTTAATATTCAGTATGCTCCATTATTTGGGTTGATTGGTAGCGTCAGTTGTAATCTTGCATTGAAATTGAAAAGTCTTCTCAGTTTTGATGATGCTTTAGATGTTTTTGCTGTACATGGGGTGGGTGGATTTGTTGGTAATCTCTTAACTGGTTTGTTTGCTGATAAAAACGTTGCAAGCTTATCAGGAGAAGAAATTCAAGGTGGTGCGATCAATGGATATTATCGACAATTTGGAATTCAGCTTGCTAATTCACTTGCAGCATTATCGTATTCGTTCGTATTTACATATCTAATATTATTTGTAATAAACAAAATTCCACATTTGTACATTAGAATTGATGCTGAAAATGAAGAACGTGGCATAGATGAAGTGGAATTGGGCGAACAAGCGCATTATTTTGTTGAAAGGTATTCATCTGCATTGAAAGATCTAACAGCTACTAAATCCGCATTAGCTAAATCCAAATCAAATGCATCTTTAAATAAACATTTTCGACAACAAAATCTTCACAATCAACGAATAGAAGAAATACCATTACCACCAACTCATAATTACATATAAATTATATAATTATACAAATATTGTACTTTTTTTTTAATCTTTAATATTTTTTTTTTTAACTTAATTTTAATATAATACTTAGTAATGCTTGTTTTGTTTGTATTGACTGTTGAATACATACTATATGATTTTATTATTTTCAATGATTTTAATTCATTATAATCTGCTTGTATATACATTATTTTGTTCAATAAATTAAAAAAAGCTTTATTGAAACATTAGGAATAGTTGTACTACTTACAATAACATCCTCCTCTTCAACTTCCTCAAAAGAATTAAGAATTTCCTCTTCAGTTGGCATTTCATTATACTTTTTTTTTAATCTTTAATATTTTTTTTTTTAACTTAATTTTAATATAATACTTAGTAATGCTTGTTTTGTTTGTATTGACTGTTGAATACATACTATATGATTTTATTATTTTCAATGATTTTAATTCATTATAATCTGCTTGTATATACATTATTTTGTTCAATAAATTAAAAAAAGCTTTATTGAAACATTAGGAATAGTTGTACTACTTACAATAACTAACATCTTATTCGATTTGCTCGAGAGAACTAGGAATTTCCTATTTGGCTAGCATTTCATTAATCTCATCATCATCAATTGATATATATTCCACTGCTATCAATGCTGGATTGAAATTTGTATATCAATTAAATCGTCAACATCATCTCTTTGATCATTTATAATATTTTGAAAGTAAGTAATTAAAATCTTATATATACATTTATTTAATTCATTTGTCAATTCTTTCTAAACATATATCTGTTTACACAATAATGATGACATAGCACGGGACTGTTATTTATATTTACTTTACTAATTGTTTTATAATTCTTCTTCTAATTTATTTAAAATTTTTGTTTTATGAGAAAATAATAAATAATTACAAAAATATGATTATGATAACACACACGAATGAACTAGGGCTCATTGCCATCAATCTTTGTATATTTTTTATTATAAATTTCTCAATGATGTGTCAAATTTGCAAGATCAATAAATCCTAAAAAACATATTTATTACTCAAGAGAAAAACATAAATATATTATAAAATAAGTTCATAATTGAAAAAAACCTATAAATAACTGTAGGTCATTCTGTTTTATCCCATTGTTGGAAGTTTTTTGATAGATTCAAATTCAGTTTTTCCAATTGCTATCTTACAAAAAAAAACATCCCATTCATTGATATATTATTGAAAAAAAGGGAACATTACAGTATAATTTCCAACATATCTTGTACAGATAATAAGGTTTTCTCAATGCTGATATTAAAGGCATTGAACGATTCACATCATCTTTGTAAGGTTTGTAGATGAACTCTGAAAAGAGAAAAAGATAATAATAATTCAAAAGTTTTAGATTGTTTCTATTACACAACATTTAGATCTTTTTGCTTAGGGATCATATGATCACAAACCCCATGTGTCATTCATTCATTACCTTACATAAGTTTTGAAACCTAATAGTTTTTCTTCATTTTTAATATATCAGTGTCATTGTCAAATAAATTGTTGAAGTGGTGCCGATACTTCTTTTGAATAAAACCCGTTATATCTGTAGCATATCATCTAATAATCAAGTTATTTTTTCAATAAATAAAATTATTGATAATTATATAAAATATATAATGTGAAATAAATAGTAATAGTAATGATATGAAAAATTCGAATATATTAATAAGTCACATGTTCGACATAGATTGGACGGCACTTCGATAAAATCCATTTTATGTGACAGCTACGATGTCTGTTGTTCTAATAAAAATATGTATGGTTTAGAAGTATATTTCCATCTGAATAATTGGGTGTTTTACGACTATTTGAACTGGTTACTTGATTATTAAAAATTTGATTCAACCAATTATCCAGACCAATTACTAATAGCCAGTGGGATAAGGCCACTAATTTCCAGCAAATTATTATTGGGATACATTTTCGTATAATGATGGAATCATCATGATTATACTTGCTGGCCAAACTCAAAAGGCAAAGTCCCCAACTCAAAACCCAAAACCCAAAACCCAAAACCCAAAACCCAAAACCCAAAACCCAAAACCCAAAACCCAAAACCCAAAACCCAAAACTCAAAACTCAAAACCCAAAACCCAAAAAGTCCCAAATCCAAAACCCATGGATTTAGATACGAATTTAGAATGTGTCTTGCATAAATCACCAATTTGTACTAGTTTTATGATATTTCGGGGGGTTGGGATTTGGGACTTTTGGACTCGAAGTCTTTACCTATTTGGGATACTATACTTTGGGCAGCAAGTATAATTATGATTGCATTTACAGAAGCAACATATTTAGAATTTGCTAACAGAACTTCAGTCACTTTTATCATTTAATCAGATATGGATATTGCAAGTGTGTAACTGAGTTTCCAATCCTAAACTGAACTTTCACTCACCAGCTAGATTTCAGCTAAAGGTTGGCTAAACCATTAATTATCAGAAAGTGTAATGAAATTAATTACGGGCGACGAGATTAATTACAGGTGACGAATGAAATTAATTATGAATTGATTATTGGGAAATATCACAGAATAAATGCTATCTGAAACTGAAAATTTTCTATGCAACCTGTTGTTAACACTACATCGGTTAACCATCATCAAAACATTTGCTTTATACCAAAGCCCAATAAACAAATCTATACCATTCTGATATCCAAATGGACAACTAAACCCTACTGTTTAATTTCCGACTTACAAAAATGTTTTTATAAAGCAAAACAAAGAATTTATTTATTTATTATCATGTGCAAAATTAACAATAAATAAATATTTCTGCCTCTACTTATTAGCAAGGATAATTTTATAATTCGACAATTTTTAAACTAATAACACTCAAAGAATTAATTACCTTTATCTGCCTCTCTATTTATTGTATCTGCATTAGAATCTTCTACTTCATCCATTACATCAATAATTGAATTTTCTTGATCAACATAGAGTAAATTTTTCATTTGAGGTATATTATCAAATAATAATGAAAAATCCTCCCTTGACATTGTGACATTTTTTTCAGTAAAATTAACTCTAATTTTAGACCAATCTATTTCGTCATTGTTAATTACTTGACTAGAAGAGGCTTTAGTTTCTATATGTAAATTTCTTGAATGATCAATGCTCAATGATTCAGTGGATTTTTTTCTGCTTTTATCATTTCTATCAGGTTCAACTATATCTAGATAATGTTTATAACATAGTTGGTCATCTTTTTTAATAAAGTTGTATTTATTTTCTGAATCTTTTCTTCTTATTTTCTCAATAGTATATTCAGTCATTTTGCAAAACGGTGCATCATTCTCACAACTAGATAATACACATGGGCCAAGGTTTTTTGGTTTTGGCATGGTTTATTTTAATGAATAAAAAAGGAAGAATTCTTATGAATTTGGTTTTTTAAAATTTAAAGGTATTTGATATTTTTATTCAATATTTGATGAATTTATTTTATTTTTGATTTAAAAATACAAGACAAAATTTTCAGCATTTATTATATCTACACAAACTTTTAAGTTTTTTTAATTACATTAAACAATCCATTGTACATGATATAAAGAGAAAGAACCTAAAGAACCTTTTGAATTTTTAATTCAAATCAACAAAGACTACACTAAATGATTCATTGACATAATGAACAATGACAAATAAAACAATTTTGTTATAAAGAGTTCAAATTTTTTGATTCAAAAATTAACAAGCATAAATTTGTTGTGTGCAAATTAATATTAATAACAAACATTTTTTGCATAATGAACAACTTTATTAAACGTGTAAAATGATTTATTTAATATATAATTCTTATTCTTATTAAACAAGGAAAGAAATAAAGAACATTTTAGATAAAGAAAATATTTGCGCAGTAAATACCAAAATGTAATAAAATTAAACCAATTAAATTACAAATATTAAGAAATGATCTACAAAAAATTAGCCAATCATACAAAACTTCTGCCTATGACTGAAACGTCAGTCACAGTAACCGAAAAATCAAGTTTGTGTGGTCTAATTTTATTCGATGGTCAAGGAAATACTAAAAATGTTGATTCCAGAATATACTTGAAAGGTCTTGATTGATACAAAATGAGGATTATTAATAATAAACATTTCTAGAAATTGCAAGACTTTATTTTTATTTTTAATATTATTATTTAATTAAATTAAATTAATAATGTTAAATAAATATATTTTGACAGATTATATATAATGATAATGGTAATGGTAATGGTATAGATGGTATCTTTAGAGATAAGTGTCTTTAATAGCTACAATAATAAATAATTTATTATAAATAATTGTAATTGTGCATAGTTTTTCTTTTTTTAAAACATTGAATTTCTATGATTTAAAAAATGAATTAAATCATATTTTGTGGTAATTCCTAAACAAAATTTACGTTCAGAATCAGTAATAACCGCAAAACTATGTTTTTCAAAAAATTTAGATAATTCTGATAATGGCGTGTCTGGAGTGATTAATTGATATTTTTTTTTTGATTTTTTTGATCTATTATTGTTACTACCATTATTGTCATTATCATTATCATTATTGTTGTTGTTATCTCCAAAATAAAACATCCATTTTGAAACCTCATCATCATTTTTTGCTTCACTATTACTTAAATGAGTTTGTAATGATGCTAAAGAAACATAACCAATAAGCTTTCTATGAGAATCAATCACTGGTAATTGAGAAAATTCTCTTTCAATCATTAAATCAATTGCCCGAGATATTTTTACATTTGGTGATATTGTTAAAGCAGCTGGCAATTGTAAATCTTCTACACTTGCCTTTATAAAAGAAACATGCGTGATGATATGAAATAATTTATTATTATTTATATATATATTATATAAAAAAGGAAATGAATGAATGATATTTAAAAAGTCTTACGGCTCTGAATTTTTCAAGCTTTTGATATTCAAGTTTTTTAAATGTTTCGTCATCCATTAAATCATTTTCTAAAAGCCATTCATCAGATA